GATGTGTTTAAAAGGTAAAACATTTTTTTTCTTAATTTTTATTTAACTATTTATATAAAATAAACTATAAAATGGTACAAGTTGTTAAGCTGAAATTACAAACACATGAAGCTGATATAGTCAGCTGGGAACACCAGTCTTACTCTTTCTTCTCGCCAAGCAACCAACGAGCCCATCTTAGCGTTGCTTGTCGCATGGTTAAGGTGTGGTAGCGAGCTTTGGGCGAGGGCTTAGCGAGGGAGGGTGGCAAGCCACTCCCTCCAGCCTTAATTCGCCTCCATCTCTGGACGCTGTCGTATCTACTGTACCACCACGATAACATGTTATCACCGTTAGGTGTCACTGACGTGCACTTCGACCGATGTAACCTACGACACGATACCTCATAAACTCATAATCGTCCTTCGTGTAATATGATAATTATGTGGTTCACAGGACGGTGATGACCGTCGTCATGGCCGGTAAACAAGTTTCTGAGTAACACGTGTTCTTTAATAAACACGCCGCAATTACTCGTGTGACTGTATTCAGACAATCATGCACACCAACAAGTCGTATTAAAATTTCTCAATGAAATCATTTGGAAATAAGGTTTCTATTAATACTCAATTTGCTCACTTATTTTACCCTTATTTTATTGTGTTACGTGGCTCGTGACTTTCTATATAATATGTCAGTGTTGCTACAAAACAATTAGGTATGTATTATACAAATAATGTTTGTTTTAATATTTGTTTGTGGGTAATATGTTAGATTAGTTACGATATTTTATTTTGTAATAGTACGCTTCATTGACCATTATACTATGAGTTTAACAAACATTGTGTGTTTAATAACAAAATAATTATTGAATTGACGAAAACTTAAGAGAAAAACACAAAAATGACCTCTTTTAGAGGTAGTGTCTAAAAAATGATCATTTTTTATTATATATAGAAGTAACTATCAGTTTTGCAATAAATCTCATTGATATTGTGAAATATTTCTCCACCAAACATTAAAGCGGTACATGTTTCAAAATTTAAAGTTTCCGAATTACAAATAAGAAATACTCAAATATGCAATTAAAAGTTAAATGAAACTAAAACTGACTAACTATAAAATCAAAACGACATGATTTTTTTTGTCCATATTCGTTACTCTATACGCCTAACTTGTACACGCAATACGAATGAGAAGAAAAGTAGAAAACCATACATCGTGATTAATTATCCATATTCGTATTCAATAATATCAGATTACAAGGATAACTAGAGGTGTGTTTTTATTAGGTGAAAGATAATTTCAATTCATTTAAATGAAAACTATTATTTTGGTCATATTTATATTCATCACATATAAAATTAAAAATAAAATAAGTCGAACGGTGTAGTGGTTCCCTAAATACATTCAAGTGTGTATAACCTTCTAAGTTATTTTTATTAAAAAAAATATTCCAATCATAATAGTTTTTGTAATCATACATTTACTATTTTGCCCTACCCAACTCCCCATTGGACCATCCATTTTACCAACAATGGTTATTAATTATTATTAAAAGCGTTGGTCACAAGTTTCATGAACCTACGACAATGCCTACAAAATACGCTCATAATAATAGAAACTTGCTTGCGCCGAAATATGTGATAATTGATCAATCTTTAAAAAAAAGTAAATAACATGTATACAATAGCATTATATCCTTTTATTAAACTTAAAAATGATAATTTATTAAAACTAATTTCACAAAAATACCAGAATTATCTAATTTTTTTTCCCTTTATACAACAAAATGAGTATAATTTCATAATGGAGGGGATTGTGATTGTGAAATAGCAAAAATAGTCCCTAACTATTTAGGCTTCTCTGAATTTAGAACATTTTTATTATTCTCAATCTTGAAATCTTTTTCAAACTCAGACCACTCAATGGGAAATTTGGGTATTTTCAGAGTATATTTGGAATTTGAAAGATATTCGCAGTGACTTGAAAATATGTAGGTCATGCTACTTAAGTTACATACTTATCTATACAAATATTTTATAATTTCTTTTCGGAACGGCAGAAATATATCAACAAACTGCTCTAATAAAGAAATAGATGCAAAAATGAGGAGTTTAAGCTCATCACATTCTTCATCATCAAAATTATTTTATTAATTTAGATTAAGACATACGGTAGTCTAATGACTCCCTATATGGATATAGATTTGTGTCATCAACAAAGGGAAAAACATCTCAAATCTCAATAACCAGTTCATGATTCATCAACCTGACATATAATCTCATTATCACCTTTTCATTTTATGGAAGAAAAAACTCACAACCACCTATTTCACATGGTTTATACATAATATTAAGAGTCACCACATAAGTAACATACTCAACTTATATGTTTTCTGGTGTTTGATGCACAACATTTAGAGTAACCATAGTAAAAAAGAAATTACCTACTCGATGATATTAGCAGGACCTTATGTGAAATAGATTTATGACGGAAAAAAAAAAGTTCTACTGTTTTATAAAAATGTATTTGGTATCGATTAATTGTAAAATAAGTAGTAATTTTAGTGATGTGTGTAAAAAATGGTTATTTCAAGTAGACATCCCACACAAATGTTCGTTTTTATGATGTCCCTTTAATAGATGCCCATAACTTAAATTTGGTATTGAGTCAATGGTTGTATTTTGGTAAATAAAAAATATATATGTATATTACGTGATAACATCATCTAAAACACATGTCTGTATACTATTTATTTAATGCGGAGATTACGGTAAGTTTTGTAACTTCAAACTAAATATACAAAATTTATGGCACAACTTACAAGTAATTACAAGACAATGACATTAACTACTGACCCTTTCAAAGCCAATATATATTACTAGCAAACCCATATTGAAAATGTCCTAATAAACCTAGAATTCCATGGTGTTTGTTTTTTTAGTCGATAATTTTTAATCAAAAAAGTCTTTGGTTATAAAAACTTAAATCAGGTAATAATATGATCCATATATATAAGATATAATAACAAGAAATGAAGAACACGTAACGATATATTTAACTATGTTAAAAAAAATACAAAATGTTTATTACCAAGTTGATCCTTTGGGGTTGTAAAGATAGAGTAAAGATGGGTTATGAATGTGATGTTAGAGTGTAAAGGAAAAAAGATAAAAGGGTCCCACATTATTGCATTTTGAAGAACATATTCCCTTACCTACACATGACAACATCTAATCTTTTCTTCCTCCACACACACCAGACTCTTCACTTGTTCTATCTCACAGAAAGACACATACAAACATAAACATACATCTACAGAGAGAGAAGCAGAAGCCTTGAATTTTGAGGAAGATATTGTCACTCTCTAATCAATTTTGAGTTTCTATGTGGTAAGTTTCACTCACACACACACACACACACAATTGTATATGTACGTATGTATGTATATATATTTCTTACATTTCTCCATATTTTTATTGAATTTTACAAGATTTTAGTAATTTCTGAATTATCACTACATGCTGTATTGCGGTAGTAATTTTAACATAGTTTTTTTTATTCTTTTTGTTTATTTTAGAAGAAGAATTGAATTTTTCATGAGTTCTTGAATTCAGAGGAAGATATATGTCACTCTATAATCCCAATAATCTTCTGTATTATGTTTGAAAATTCTTAAAGCTCAATATTTATTTTTTCATTCTGTAAATACAATATTCCCGATGTTCTTTTCTGAACTGTGTTTGGAATTGTTTACTCTTTTAATTCGAAAGCATTTAATTCAGTTTTTGCAGATATTTTCAGTAAACATAAACCCCAATATCTCTATTATTTTTACAAATAAAATGTATATATATGTGGTGTTTAATTTTGCAGATGATAATATAAAAAATCATAGAGCAATGGACGGGAATGGGAATGGGAATGGAAATGGGAAATCCTTGGAAAGAATGGTGTCATTGAAGGCTCTGCAAATGGGGAATTCATTGTCATGCCAAATATGTGTGATTGGATTTCTGTGTGGAGTATGCCTCACTTCTCTCTTTCTTGCTGCCCTCACTTCCTTCGACTTTGCATCTGCCCCCAATTCCACTTCCACCTCCTATTTTCTCAGTAAGTTTTTTTCTGTTTCTGTTTTGCATCCTAACAAATTATCATTATTCTTGAATATAATTAAATTAAAAAAAATTTCCATAATTCTAATTTTAGGAGTTTTAAATCCTACATTTCGGATACTACTCAATTGACCTTACCAGAAAAAAAAGGCGTTCCTCCTTTTTGGATCTTTTGTTTGTGTTGTCGCCCTTTTTAACTAGTAAACACTCAAATGGGCTATTTTTGGATCACGTATTAATCTTTTTTCTTTTAATCTCATTCTACGTATTACGTAATGTACTCGTGTTTTGTATAGTTTAAAATACGACCAGTATTAGTTTTATGTTAGAAAAATGGTGGTTTTTGTTAGGGATGGAATTTGGATAATTGGATTATGACATTGGTGGGTTATAATAAATAATTTAAAGATCAACATAAATTTCACAAGTCAAAAATGTACAAATGAGTAGAGTCCATAAGGGTGTGATTGAAGCAAAAGTAAAGTAGGTATTACCTTGAAGATTAATTATTTTTTATTCCAGAAGTTTTAAAAGGTATTCAAGTTTCAATTTTTTTACTCATTTTCATATAACACATCAATTATTGAAAACGATACTTCAACCCTGATATATTGAATCGAGTTTGCGTGAACCCTGTGATCTCTTTTATATGGCTGGCTTTAATAAGCTTTTTGTGATTCCTCTGTGTAAGCATGTCTTCTTGAGAAAGACACCCACCAATATGTTGCTATCTTTTTTCTTGGTTTAAATCCAAAATTCAAGTGAATTGTACGACTTCTGGGACATGGTGTACAAGTCTCTATAGCAACAGTGCTCTGGAATAATAAATTTCAACTCTGGAAAACTACCCGCCCTTGTTCCATCATTGAGACAAGGGATAGCGACTAGAATGGCGTATTGTGGTTTAGCCATTATTGGCAAAATTTAAAATTTTACAAAATGAACCCTTATATTTTTAAGGTGTTTGCAGTTTGACCGCATTGATATATATATATATATATATATATATATATATATATATATATATATATATATATATATATATA